GTAATGGAAGTTTTAGCCATCACAATTAGGGAAGAAAAGGTGATTAAGGGCATCCATATAGGGTCAGAAGAGATTAAACTTTCACTTTTCGCAGATGACATGATCGTATATCTGGAAAACACCAGAGATTCTACTACAAAACTCCTAGAAGTGATCAAGGAATATAGCAGTATCTCAGGTTACAAAATCAACACTCATAAATCTGTAGACTTTATATATATCAACAGTAGCCAAGCTGAAAAAGCAGTCAAGAACACTATTCCATTTACAGTAGTGCCAACTCTTTGGGGTTACTCTGGACTGGTTTTTCATTTTGCCAGGATTTTTCTGCTGATTCTTCCTCATGAGTGTTTTCTTTTATCTGTTTCCTTGCTCTAATTTTCCTTTCACTTCCTCTTGGTTTTTAAGTTACTGTGCCTGTGGCCTAAGATTTCAATGAGTGCTTTTGGTACAAGATCAAAAGGATGAGGAGATTGAAAAACAGGAAGGAAAAAAAGATTTAAAAAAAGAAAAAAGAGAAAGGAGAGGGGGTGGGTAAAAGGAATATTGATAGAAAATAAGTGAAGCACAGAAAGAGGGAGACTGGAGTAATAAAGGTGTATAGTAGGTACTTTGACCCACCCTCAAAAACCCCCAACCTCTGGGGGTGCTGGGTTGGGTGGTTCCCTCAAGGTCAGCAGCTCTTTGTCAGCCTGAGCAGACACTGTATCCCACCTCCACCAAATAGAGAGGAAATACAAAAATAATAAAAATGAACCAAAACAAACAAACAGAAAAACTTACAGGAACAGAGACACTAGCAAAAATGAAAAGAGGGCAAAAATGGAAAATTACATTTAAACTAGAGAAATGATGAAAGAAAAGAAGAAAAAATGAAAAGAAAAATCTAGAGGAAAAATGTTGAAATTAAATTAAAAAAAAAAAAAAACCAAAGCAGTATATAAATCTTGCTGAATATTGTCTGGTGTCTGGGCAACAGGTGATCTTCTGGGGTATGAGGTGTTAATCACAAAGCTGATACAGGTGTATGAGATGGAAACTGGAGGTCTCTGCTGATTTCTCAAACCCTGCAGGGTTGAGAACCTGAATCTCTCTTCAGCCCACTTAAAAGACACTTTAAACTGTTAACCTTGGCTAGGCAGAAGCTCTCCCAGGAAAGCACTTGTTGCTGGGATCATTCCTGAAGTGTCTGCCCGCTTATCCAGTCCACCAAAACCAATCTCACTCTGTGCCCCTGATGGCTGAGGTTGCAAGGCAATGTTTCTACTGCCAAACCCTGAATGCTTCATCTCAGTCTCAGCCTTTGGCCTGCTCAATCACAAAACCAGTTGCCCGAGGTCTCTCAGCCCAATCCTAGCTCTGCGACCCCAGGGGCGGAGCCTCCAAGGGGCAGATCTCCCACAATGGCTGCCCTCAGCAAACAGCTGAATAATATTAGCTCCATTCTGTCTTGGCAGCTCAGTCCAGGGGCCCTAGACAATCCTTAAAGTCATCCACACTCTCTCCCAAGTTCTCCAAAGGTAGTTCAACCAAGTTCCCAAGTCTATAATAAACATAAGAACCCATAGGAAAGATCTGTACTACTTTCAATCTCACCACTGTTGTTGATACAGTAGTGGCAGCCACTACCCAAACGCAACCACTTGCCCATTCCCCACTGCTTTTGTTCTCCTCTTGGGGTCCAGAAGTCTCTCACTGTCTCTCTGCATACCCAAAGGGATGTTTCTGGGTGGAGCCCACAAGCCAGAGATGCTTGAAGTCTTCTCTCCCCACTCTAGCAACACCCAGTTGCAAAGTAGCTGTTACTCAGCATCATCTTGCTCCACCTCAAAACTAGGTCACATTTTTATGATATACCTAATTTGTTTACATTCTCCTCAGTTCTTTGTGACTAATGTAACATTTAAGCACCATTTACATGGTGTATTTCTTAATGATGGATTTAATCAATTTACCATAAGCTTCTTAATAAATGGTTGATCCATTTGGTATTAATGAATTTAAGATAATTGGATTAGCTTGATAAATTAGTAATTTGCTCAGTCTATAGTTAATTTAGAACATTCTTCTATAGATTAGAAAAAAGCTAATCCTATTTCTTGTCCATGCTTTAAAAAAAAGAATTGAGTAATCTTATATTTGCTTTTAATTATTTTTAATTTATTTGTTTCCTGAGTTAATCAAATAGGAATAATGTAGTTATATATTTGCTTTAGTTGTCCTGCTTCAATAGATAAATGATACTATTTTATGAATTAAATTCTATCTGTAGTTTCTTTGTGGTGTCATCCTGGAGATAAATGTTAACTATGCCTTCCATGTACATGTTATGCACAGAGAAAAATCTTTAGAGTTTTATATTTTTCCTATTAATTTTAAATGTAGTACTGTATGTAGCCGTTATCATTCCAACTAGCATTGTTATTAGTAACTGAACACTAAAAACTTCCAAATTGTTATATATAACATACTATACTTATATAATACCACTAATAACCACCTATAATTTGTTTTATCTAACCATCTGATTCTTCTCTTACTTTTAGACCACAGCAATGAAAAAAATAATGTATTACCATATGCGTATAAAAACAGTTCAGAGGCATCTTAATGAAGACCTTGAAAGACTGAATGACCGAAAATGCAAATTACAGAAATTGCCAGAAGAACGAATAAAATTAATCAGTTTTGCGAAAAAAAATGTAAGATTAAATTGTGTGAAATTCTAGTGGCCACATCTTTAGAAAACTACTGATAACAAGTAATATCTTTAAAATTACATATTGAGTACATATAATAACATATATATTTAATTAATAATGTATTTCAAGTCAGGTTTGCTCCCAAAATTTTTGATTTAAGGTGCTTAACCAAGCTGTATTCTTAAATATAGCAATTAGAAATCTGCAACTCAAAAAGGTTTAGGCTTAATTATGTTTAGAAATCTGTGATTTAGAAAAAGTATAGGCTTATGTAATTGTGAAAATGTTTAAAGTTGTGTAATTCATTGTGATTTTGGGAGTTACAGATATCTGTTAGACATATTTCAGCTGCATTTTTATTAGAAACCAGCAGGCTGTGATCAAAATTCATTTTCTTATTTAAAGCACTAAAATATCTTAAATGTACTAATACTTCTGAGGTAAATAACAAGGTGGGAACTTTAAATAATGCTGTACTTTAATAGTGTGTGCTTTCTTTTTTTTTTATTAAATCATAGCTGTGCGTATTAATGCAATCATGGGGTACAATGTGCTTGCTCTACATACAATTTGAAATATTTTCATCAAACGGGTTAACATAGCCTTCATGGCATTTTCTTAGTTATTGTGTTAAGACATTTATACTCCACTCTTAGTAAACTTCACATTTACCCTTGTAAGATGCACCTTAGGTGTGGTCCCACCCATGACCTCCCCTCCACCCATCCTTCCCCCTCCCCTCCCCTGCCTCTCCCCTTTTCCCATGTTCTTGAGCTATAATTGGGTTATCGTTTTCATATGAAAGTTATAAATTTGTTTCATAGTAGGGGTGAGTACTTTGGATGTTTTTTCTTTCATTCTTGAGATACTTTGCTAAGAAGAATATGTTCCAGCTCTATCCATGGGTGTGCTATTTAGAATAAATTAAATTTCCTTTATTAAAAGTAGGCCATGAAAAATTAAGCATTACTTACCCCAAAGCAATACCTTATATATAAAAACTGTATTTTTTAAGTATGAGGAAATAATGGATTATTTAACAAATGGTTTTAGAAAAATAGTCCAACTATTTGGTAGGGAAATGGATCCTTAGTTTACACTTTACTATATGTAAATATGAGTAGGGGGTGAAAAGAATTAAGTGTAAAAATTAAAACATGAAAAAACTGAGGACTTAATGTATAGATGGTTATAATTAATCCTGGCTTGCCAAATGAAATAAATACTATAAATTGCAAAGGCACAAACTACAGATTTGATTGAAAAAAAAAACTAGTAAAATGCTTTTGTGCCACACGGCATCATTAATAAAAAAAATGACAAATGATAATCTGAAAAAATAATAAACATGACAGACAAAAGATTGATATCTTAATATAAAAATATCATGAGCAAAACAAGATAAAAAGTAAATATCCAAATAGAAAAATTGAACAAAGCACATAAACTAGGATCTTACAAAAGTAGAAATAAAAATTAATAAATATTTGAAAGAAAAGCTCGACCTTGGAGAGATCACTTCTATGGTTTATCTTACAAGGGTACAAGTGAATCTTTCTAAGAGTAGAATATAAATGTCTTAATGCAATAACTAAGAAAATGACACAAAGGCTATGTTAACCAATTTGATGAAAATATTTTAAATTGTATATGAAAACACCACACTGTACCCCATGATTGCCTTAATGTACACAGCTATCATTTAATAAAAGAAAAACTCAACTTGATTATTCATTTCTGAATGTTAAGATAAAACCATTTTCACCTATGACATTGCCAAAGCATAACACACGATAGTATTCAGGCTAGTGGAGATGGATGTTACACACTCAACTCTACACTATTGCTGGTGAGAATGCGACGATGGTCATTTGTGTTCACAGCCTAAAAATGCTCATAGCCATTGACACAGTAAGTGCACTTGTAATCCTCTATTCTAAAGATGTATAGTAAGGATATTTATCACTGCACTATTAATAACAACAAAAAATTGTAAACTACCTAAATGTTTAGCAAGAGAAAAGTTATTCATTCTTAAGGTAGAATAGTATGTAGTCATTTAAAAACATTGGCTTTGAAATATATTTGATGCTTCTTCTAAAGTAAACAGGTTTTAATTATTATAATTAGAGAGATATTCTCAAAGTAAAATATTAACAAAATTTAAGTTATTTATTTGAATAAAAATCATGGGAAACCAGTATTGGGGTACCATTTTATAACTGCCATTTTCCTGTGCAAATGCATGTGTTAAATAAAATCTGCAAATGTGAAAAATAATAGCTAAAGATAAATGCAACTATAGACATTTTTATGAATATGCCTAATTTGATTTTTAACAACTGGATATAGGTATTATACAGAAGGAGCACAGATAGTTAGTAAATTTCTTTTTATGTACACTTCTCCTCATACAGTACAATTTATCTTGACATCCTATAGGCCTGGAATAAAATGAGACAAGTGAGGCTCTTGCCTGGGGCCCACAATTTAAGGGAATACCCAAAACCTCAGTAATCAAGATAAATAATATTTAATGTCATATTTTAAAAAATCCAAGTTAATGCAAAAAAGTCCATTATGAACAACAACAAAACCCCAAATACCAAAACCTTCAAGACCAGTGCTATGATGAGCCATATATGTAAGAGACTGGGGCAAAAGGAAAAATGTACTCCCCTATATACGTGCTTTAGTATATTCTTTAGATTAATTTTTTTGTAGAACATCAAGGTAGTTGAAAACATATTGAAACACTGAAAAGTTGTGTTAAAAATTACATTATTTGAAGTTTAAACATTAATTTATAGCAAATGTAGCACTTATTTTTCATTGACTTTAATAGACATATCAATAATATTTAAAAATCTAGTTCTTTGCTTATTTTCAGCTGAGACACTGCCACATTGGAAGCATTTAAGGCTGTCACTTGGTCAAGTGGAATTGGCTGACTGAGATTGCACCAAAGTTGAAATCACATTTGGCAGGCATTCTTTTGTGAAGTTTGGCCTCTGTTACATGTATTATTACATAGGTTTCTACTTTGTTTAAATTAATTATTTAACTAAATTCACTAAAAATTTAATATCTGAATTCAGGCTTTACCCTTAACCATATTTTTATTTTGCTTTCTGTAATGTTTTCAACAGTTGGAACGAGAATTGTCTGAACAAAAGAAATCTGGCAGAGGACACAGTGTTAGATCCAGTAACAATAAAGTAACTGAGCTTGAAAAATCGAAGATTTGTGAAACTGTCACAGAAGAACCAACTTTTCAGCAGAAGATATTGACCAAACTAAATGCTTTGAACGAAAGGGTAACATTCTGGAACAAAAAACTAGATGAGTATGTTTAATGAGTTGTCCAGTTGTTCAGATTTGAAATGTGAGAAATTAAAAATATTCAGGGGCACTGGCCCCATATACTAGAGGTGATGGGTTCAAACCTGGCCCCAGCCATAAATTGAGTTTAGTTCTCTTCCTCTGAAGTGGAAAGAATTATAGTACGAAGTAAATAAAGCATGAAACATGTTCTGGAACATTAGTTCCAGTTCCTAATGCATAGAAGCATCATTGGTTGAAAGCTGTTTTTTGCAGAGACAATTCTTAATTAGAAACTGAGCTTCCTCTGAATTGCTTTCTGCCACATCACTGCTCTAGTGCCTGCAGTATTAAAAAAAAAAGAAAGAAAGAAAAGTAATAGAGCTGCTACTGGTGCAGAAACTCACTGAACAGATGAGACCCAACAAAGCACATGCACAGTTGTCTGGACTCATTTAGAAACACGTTCAATTCAGTTATCCGCTAGAAATACAAAGCAAAAATGTTTAGTAAGAACTATGCATTTTTTTTCAGTTATTTGATTTTCTTTCTTTTTTTAAATTTCAGAATATTAGGTGGTACACATGTTTTGTTTATATACTTTTTTCCTTCGGTACAGATTGAGTTATAAGTGTGCCCTTAACCCAGATAGTGTGCACTGTACCCATAGGTGTGAATTTACCCATCCCCTCCTTTTTAAAAAATTGACATTTTCTAAGGCACTAAATGGGTTAGTTTGCCCTGTAATAATAATAGTAGAAATAACAATAGTAACATGTATTGACTTTTTACTCTGTGCCAGAATCTTTGCTAAGAATTTACATATATTTTGCAAATAATTCTCCAAACAGCCTTTTTAGGCAGAAGGACTAAGAGTATTACCTTTTTACTGAGAGAACTGAGGCATAAAAGGGTAAGTGACTTGTCTAAGGTCTGAATGCCGTAAGTGGATAGAGCCAGGATAGTCTTCCAACTTTTATACAGTTTGAGATTAACAGAATTGGAAGTGATTTTAATGGCTAAAAGCAGAATGTCTTTTACTTAGTTTCACCAAGGTTTCTTTTTCCATTGAAAAGAAGTCTTGTATTTTAATATCAGTTAAAAACCTCTATCATGAATTTAGTATTGTGATGTCATATCATTCTATTAGCTGTATTTATTTTTTTCTTTACTAGAATTGAAACAATTTATCGCCTTGAAGTAAAGCAAAAGAAGAAAGCTCATGGCTTACTGATCCCATTTTTGTTAATTGAATTGGAGACGGTGGGGAATATCCATTTTGAAGAAGGCACTCAATCTGATGACTGGTAAATCTGTTTGAAATTTAGGTATAGCTTTAAAAATCATTTTGAGTACTCTGGATCATCACCTAAAATATCATTTTATGAAATCTTAAAATGTCCTACTTATTAAATACTTCTCATGCAGAATATTCATCTATTAAAAACTGGCAGTTACCTGCCAATTTTGTACCTAGGAGTATACATTTCTCTGTTTATACCATTACTGTAAACCAACTTTGGAGAAATTTTAATGAAATATTATTGCTCTATCCTATTTTCTTTAGCTCAAGAACAGAATATAGTTTAACAAAAATAGTTTATAGTAAATTATTAATTTCTATGCATGTTTATACTGTTTATTTCTTTATATAGCCCTGGATTCTGAATATTGGTTGAGAAAGCTGGAACAGAGCAGGGGTGCCAAAGCAGGATTGGTGACAGCAGGTTGCCAACATGGGAGGAGGCTATCTAGCAAATCTTACGTGGGTCCATAGTCAAAATGGGGCCTGCTGTTTAGAGCTAGCTTCAGTCAAGGTTCACTCGGACACTACATGTTAGAACAGAGCATATGCTTACACTAGGGATTTAGGTCAAAAGCTCATATAGACAAAAATGGAGAAAGACACCAAGAAGAAAAGCAGAAAGCAGGTATCCACACTTTAGAATCAAGGCCTACTGGTAGAACAAAGGTAGCATCATGTTGCTTCAACTAGAGGGCACAATCAGAAATGGCCTTTAAGAAAAAAAGAAAAAGAGGCTCGGCGCCTGTGGCTCAAGTGGCTAAGGCGCCAGCCACGTACACCCAAGGTGGCGGGTTCAAATCTAGCCCGGGCCCGCCAAACAACGACGGCTGCAACCAAAAAATAGCCGGGCATTGTGGCAGGTGCTTGTGGTCCCAGCTACTTGGGAGGCTGAGGCAGGAGACTCGCTTGAGCCCAGGAGTTGGAGGTTGCTGTGAGCTGAAATGCCATAGCACTCTACCCAGGGGGACAGCTTGAGGCTCCCATCTCAAAAAAAAAAAAAAAGAAAAAAGAAAAAAAGAAAAAGAAAGCCTTGTGTAAAAAATATTATTAGTGATTATTAGTTACTTTTCTTTATATTTTTGGAGTCTTTTTTTTTTAACTGAGAAGAATCTGAAATAGCCAAAGTTGCCCAGAACTGTGATGTGAACCCCGGGCACGTGGAGACACCCAGGAGGCATATGGACTATAGAATGGACTTTGCGCATCTCCTGAAATGTGCTCGGACTGGAAATTAGTGTCGAAACAAATGCTGACTTTCAGAGAGTGGAATTCAAAATATACTTTATTAGCTTTTTAGAAAAAAGTGTGATTGTTATGGATTACTTTAAACCAAGCCTCCAGATTTCTATTCGATATGACTTTTTGGCTTGTGTAAAAGCTTCTCAAGGGTCTGGGGGATTCTCTGGTGGAAAAGTGTGCGAAGCTTCTCCCAAGGGAGAAAGAGACCTTTTAAAGTACTTTCTTCTAGGTACATCTATCCATTTACCCCACATTTTCACTGTTTGCTTGGCCATTGTTCTTGATTTTTGTATATAAAGATATGAAAGGTGTTCATCCCAGTTCCCATGTAAACCAGTAAAGGCCTTGATTTTTCAAGTGCAAAAACAATGGTATTTATCTGCAGGGTGCACAAATAATTTCTCAATCTTTCATTTATATTTACTCAACCTAAACAGAATTATGTTTCATTGCTTCTTTTTAACTTATTGCAAAATAAGGTCTTTACAGAATAAGCAGATGAGTAGAAAAAGTATGTAAAAGCAAGATGACTAAAAAACCATTTAGATAACGATGCCAGCCAGATAGTAAATTAGCTGGCTTTGAGGGATTTTGATAAACATTAATAATTATTTACTTAGTTTTAATAAGAATAACCTTGATCCATTTTAAGAAGAAAATAAAATATATGTAGGCAGAATTTAAAAGACTGATTTTTACTTTTAACATATTGCAGACTTGGCTACATTGGCTTGGATCTTTTATGTATGTTAAATTGCTGTGTTCTACATTTCTAGTAGTTTTAAATAAGCAAGGACTTCTCTTTATTGATATTTTATGGCTAGGGATTTAGTATTTAAATAAAAAGTACTTGAGTGGGGCTAGGAATCATATAGAAAGGGTTAGCTTGAGTTGAGCTAGGAATCATATAGAAAAAAAGCACTGTAGATTTCTAATTGTATATCATTTAACATTTCTTAGTTTAATTTACAAAATAAAATTATATTTTTCAGTTTAAAAAGATCCTTATTTTACAAAGACTTGCTAGTTGAGTAGATCTTTGACACTGTAGCTTTATCACTACAGATTCACATTACTTACCTATGTATTTCAAATTGGATTACCTATTGACATCAGACAGCATGTGTCAAGTAGGGACCCTAAAGCATAAAAGATGTTTCCCTTGGGGTTGAGAAGCTTTCCACCAGATTATGGATACAATGTATTTATGATTAAAAACATGACGTTAAAGTGCCACAAAACAATAATATATCAGTGAGGCTATACATTACTGGGGGGAGGGGGCAGATACTATATTTCATGTGCCTTTTAAGTCATAGCACAGGTCTAAATTCATAGCCCAGTCGATATTTACTAATCAAAAGCTTCTGTAGCATTTTATAGCAGTTTCATTTTGTGTATATAATGACTTTCAGTAATTATATATTACATTTATACATACATATTACAGTATACATTTCATGGGGTACTATTTCAAGGACCTATA